GGTGTAGGGTGTAGGGTTTAGGGTGCAGGAGTCTAGATGCTGAGCCTCTACTATGTCAAGGAACCCATGTTCTGTGCTTATGCGCCCCACGACCATTGTCTTTAAGCCGTCCGAGCGACTTTAGATTTGTAAGAAGCTGACGTGACGAACCTCCTTACAAAGGTCTAAGTCGTTTGAGTAGGGTTTAGGGGTATAGTGATGTACGATTCCTTATTACTCGTAACCTGAAGAACAATCCTGCTGCTGATCTGCGTAGTTATTCACGCGTACCCGGGATGCAACTCCACCGTGCTCTCGAGCATGGAACTTACAAGCCCGGTCAAGGTGTACGGGTGCAGCTTCGGGCTATGGCCCCGGAGTTTTGTGGATTTTCTGCGAGGTTTCTTCGTGCTGGCTCAGGTTAGGGTTTAGGGTTTAGGGTTTAGGAGTTAAGGTTTAGAGTTTTGAGAGTGCAAAGCTCACTGTCAACATTCAATTCTGATTTAGGTACTTGGGCCACAGGATGCCACAGGCCCCTTGGACCCAACATAAAGATCAAGCCCTGAGGGTCCATGTACTCATATAGTATATACATTGGCCCCAAAGTACCTATCTAGGGACTACTTTAAGGCCAAAGTATATACTATTGGGGTACTTGGACCCTTAGGGAAGTTTATAAGGCTTATGGGCTAAGGTTTACCATCAGAGATCCCGTATTGCGCGAACTAATGACCTGTCTTGGATTCATCTCAGAGGCCGGAGCCTCTTCCCCGGAACCCTAGAGTTCGAGATGCCCCTAGGCCCTTAGTTCGTGAATCTTGGAATGCCCTTAGACCCTAAGCTATTGAACCTAGAAGCCTTAAAACTTAAATCCGTGACGTTGAGCGTCTTGCCCAACGAGTCCCAGGAAGCACTGCAGAAATCCGTGCATGGCAGGGGTACAGCCGCGACGAAAAGGCTCCTGGGTTCAAGGCTCAGGCTTTAATGTATGTTGAAAGTTTAGCCGAAGAAGTAAAATCAAACCTGTTGAGTTTTCAGATGTTCGCAGCAGACTGCCACTGATTGGGTAGCAAATTTCTATGCAAAACTAAGTGCGCAGCCATATCCCCCAACCCTGAACCTGTATGGAACTTCCGCGGTAGTAGCATTTCGGAACCACCTCATGCGAAACCTGTGCCTCAGCGCCCAGGTACCTATGCAAGTATATACAACGCGGACATCATGTCTTCATACCAGAACACTTTCATGATGGTTTCAACTTCAAATGAAGGTGGGGCTCAGGATTGGAGATGAAGGTTTCAAGATGTAGGGAGTTCAGCTAAATAGGGATAAGGGTCAAAGTATAACCAGCAGGTACTTGGGCATGTCAGGATTGGAATGCTAGTTAGCCTCAGTGGTAAAAAGTATCAAGCAGCTCTCACGAAACGAGTAGCAACGAACTTGGCAATAACCTAACCTTAAGCATCATACCATTAACTGTGAGTACTGGTGATACCAAGAGGACAACAGCATCGCGAATGATCTTGGTTTCGGCCCCGCCAACCCAGTGCCCAACCCTTGGCTTTAACCGGGTTCGATTTAGAAATTTAGGGTTTAGAGCTTATCGGGTTTATCCGGTTTGTACGGTTTAGGGTTTCGAGAGCATGAACGAACAAAAACACGGTTTCAACCCACTTGTGAAGGGTTAAAAGCCCAGCTCTTGAGTGATTCGGGCGAGAAGCTGGAAGATGCGGAGGCTCGCCCACAAGACCTGCAGCAGCAAAGGTGCTGTTGACACCCCGACATGGCATACCCTTAGGAGAATAACCGCAATAAACAAGTTTAACAAGACCCGGGAGAACAAGAACTCGAAATCGGCATGCCCAGTGCCGCTCACATCGATTAGGAGCATTGATGACGGAGAAAATGCGCATCAGTATGACATACCTCCAATCATTACGGCGGCCGGTGCACGCCAGATCGAGATTTGCGTCATGTGCATTCGCTGCGAGTCCCAACAATATCAATATCGACGATTGACCCTAGCTTACCAACCGCAACTCGTGGTTGTAGTGGTAGGTTACTTGCTGGAAAAACTGTTACGTCTCACGAATCTCGGCTCGTGCAATACAAATGCAAAAACAACAAGACCGAGACAGCACCTCGTCCAGAATCAAACAAAACAAACCTTGCAAAATACATCTGCAGCTTACTGGGCCTTGATGTGCGACCACGATGATGTTGCAGGCTCGTGAATCGTGAACAAACGTGGTGTTCGGTCAACATTGCCACGTCTTTGGGCCGCGCTTTACGTTTCAAACATCAAGGAGTTCAACGTAGGTGCGTACCTCAATGGTCTTGTTGATTCGCCGGGCATGCCGCAGGAATGGTGTACCCATAGCCCTTCCTGACACCTAAGACTGGTTGTTTTTTTTCAGGACATCCTCCAACAAAAACCCCTAAACCGAAGCGCTGAAGCCGCCAGACTTAAAACAAATCGGACTCCTGAAGAATCAGGATGCCCGGCAAGTACGTCCTGTTTGACCAAATTGGTTGGATGATGACCCTCAGAGACGAAGTCGAAGTCGACGGTAGATATCGATGCGGCATACATGTATGGACAATTGGCAGCATATGCAGAGTCGCGCTTCGTCAAAAGATTATGCGGCACCCTCACACGCAAGTTTGCTTACGGTCCTGTGACTTCGACGCCGCTGGCTAGCACTGCAACGCTTGGCGACTGGCACTCTGATTCCTGATTGGTTGTGTGTCAACATTTAATAGTCGGGCCTGTAAACAGTCACCAAGCCAAAACAGAAACAGAAGACAAAACGGAACAATATCAGGTTTATAGTGAGCTAAGTCGAACTACTTATGGACAAGGTACTTCTGGATAATGTACTTATGGATAAGGTCAAAAATGTGAAACGGTTGCAACACGCATGGCGTCCGTGGCATTGCGGGAACTTAGGAAATCTGGGGCGCTAGGGAATGCTAGGGTGTGTACGCTATGCAATGCGCGGCAGTGAGCTTGAAAATTGGAAAGTTGTGCACATCGGACATATCTGAATCGTCTAGGTTTGAGGCATGAACCTCCATGAAACCCTAAACCCAAGGTGTCGGAGTGTCTTCAGCAGCTTGGGGCTGGAGAATGATCAGGCTGCAGGCTTTTGAGCAGTGGGGTTTGGGAGGTTTGAACTGAATGCGATGTGTCGGCCGTGTCGGCACTTTTCCACATATTTCCGTCTACTGGGACGAAGCATCAACAATACTGCAAGCACGTATCGCTTGCTTGGTTCAGAACGGCCAGGTAGCACCAGATCATGCTGCCAAGCTGTGCTTCAGTGCGCAGCCCTGAGGGTCCATGTACTCATATAGTATATACATTGGCCCCAAAGTACCTATATAGGGACTACCTAAAGGCCAAGGTATATACTATTTGGGTACATGGACCCTTAGGGCAGTACACAGTCTGCAGAAACTAAACGTGCCGCTTTCTGGCTGCACGAAAGCACGACAATCGATCCGAGCAGTGGAAGTAAGTATACAATTTGTGGGTCTAGCCGAAAGTAGAAGTAGCTTCAGTCGGACGACAACATAGTACTGAACAAGCATAATGCTGCAAGGAGTGCAACATGGCCCTACATAGTGATGCAAAAAACTCGCAACCCAGACTCAGGACAGAACGAAGCCGCAATGACACGAGTTGTAGCCGAATGAGCAACCTGAAGGTGACAGTGATAGAACCAAGACTCGCAACATACAACCGAGCGTGGCTTCAGGTCAAAAGCCTCTGTTTCAGAAGTCCTATCCCTCAGGCGCTGCATGAGAAAACAAGAAAGCAAGCTAGCCGAATATGAACGTGTACCAGTAGCGATGCGGACTCTTATCATTGATTGCTCTCGCTTCTGCTACTGCTGAGTTCGTTCGTCTTATGTTGCTGCTGCCAGCGTTGGCGATGCTACAGTCATGCCGTGATTGCCACGTGTCGTGTCGGCACTGTCGCTGCTGCTCGTGCTGCAGTTGTTCGTGTTGCTTGCTGTCAGTGCTGGTGCCGTTGCCCTTGTCGTGCACGCGGCGGTGGTGTTGTTGGTGCTGGTTTCTGGTGGTGCTTGTGGTGGTGGTGGTGGTGGTGGTGGTGGTGGTGGTGGTGGTGGTGGTGGTGGTGGTGGTGGTGGCGGTGGCGGCGGCTGTCGGCTGTTGGTTTTTGGTGGTTGTTGTTGTTGTTGTTGTTGT